GGACGTTGGGTAGATTGGTGAACATCAGGAGGGAGAAGGCTGAATGAGGGGCCACTTTGGGTGGTGGTAGGGGAAAAACAGCAATCTTACAATCCAAAGATACGGGCATAAATTTTAGCATTCACTAGTGGCAGGACCTGAACAAGCCCTGATCTTCAGTCTCCTTATCTGTAAAGTGGAGGATAGTAATTGCACCCACTTCCTCATAGGGTCTTTAAAAAGAAAATGCCTGGTAGAATACAGATGGATAGTTACTGTGAGAGGTATAGTCAGAGTGTTGTGAAAGTTCTCAGGAGGGAGAAATTCTATCTGGTTAGGCAGATCATGGATGGTTTTGTGGAGGAGGAAGAGGAGGAGGCAGCATTTAAGTTTGAAAGATGGATAAGATTTCCATAGGCGGAAAGAACAGCATGTTGTCCATCTGGCTGGAGCGTTCAGAATATTCTGGGAAGGAAACAGAAGATGAAGCTATCAAGGTGGCGTAGGCCTAGTTAATGAAAGTCCCTGAATGCCAGGCTGGGGAGTGTGGAATTTGTTCAGGGGACAGTGGGGGACGAGGAGAGGTATGGTACCGTCAATCTTTTAAGAAGATTGCTGTGGCGCAGGGTGTGGGGTGGATTTGAGTAGGGGTACAGAAGTGAGCCAGGAGGCTGTTGGAAATAGCCATGGAACCTGGGAGTTACACCTCAGCAGCCATCTGGTCCAGGCCATACCTTAAAGGAATCCTCACCGTAAGAATCACACCCAACAAATGTTGGGCTCTCTCTCCAAAGAAGGAGAACCCATTGTCGCTCAAGACAGCTCCGACTTTAGGTAGCGGGAGCAATGAAAATGGGAAGGAAGGGACAGCTCTGAGAGGGCTTTGTTAAGGGGGAAGAATGAGTAGATCTTGCTCATCGGGTATAGGGAGATGACGGAGAAAGAGAGGAGTCATCATTCTGAGGGTATTGAGAAAATGAAGACAGCTAGGTGGCTTAGTGTATAGAGCACTGGGCCTGGAATCAGGAAGACCTGAGTTCGAATTTGGCCTCAGACATTCACTACCTGTGTGACCCTGGGCAAGTCACTTAACCTCCCTTTGCCTTAATCCACTGGAGAAGGAAATGGCAAAGCACTCCGGTATCTTTGCCAAGAAAACCCCAAATGGAATCA